ATGGGAGCGCGGAATGGTAGTTTGAGATCCGGCTTTCGTCTTCGACATCTATTCTGCCAAAATTATTGGTGGTTTTCTCGGTCAAACCACTCTTTGCTTCGTGACTGCTTCTCTGATTTGATTGAGGTTTTCTTTGGCAATTTACCTGTTTCTCTCGTTGTTTCTGGTTGTTTCTCTAATGACTTGAAGTCTTTCTGGTTAATATCTGCCTTTGATTCTTTTTGAGTGATTATAATCAACGGATCACGGTTGTCCCTATTTTCTTACTGAAGATACTACCGAATCTTCTCTCTCGTGAATTTGGTGGCATTGTGGGGTTCATAAGCACTCGGTATTATTTTATTTGGTGGTGAAGAGTTCCTTTAATTTATTCCTTTGTTTAGTTTGGTCAAATGCTGCTGGATTTTTATCTCCCGGGAACCTTTCAAGTTTGTCTATTTGATTCTGATATTGGTTTTTTTATAACAAATTAAGTTGCCTTCAACTTGCCCTCTCTTTGGTCGGCTTTATTTTAAAGAATTGAGGCAGAACTTTTTTGATTCTTTGATTTTGAGATTTGTCAGTTGGAAAAACAATGGCTATGAACGATAAGCAAGGATGAAATAATGCTACATTTCTTAGTCCAACAATCTTGGTTTCGAACGAGTTTCTTAAATTCCTTCAATATCAAAAATCAATTAAGGTATCTTCTTCGGTTACTACTTTCGATGGGTCACATAAAACATGCCTTATCACCTCTTCAAATAAATGGGTGATTGATTCGGGTGCCACCAATCACATGACAGGTAATCCAAATATTTTTTCTACCTTTCAATCACACAAAGCACCCTCTCCAGTTACTGTAGCTAATGGATCAACTTGTAGTAGTGTTGGATCTGGGATTGTTAAACCAACTTCCTCTATTATCTTGTCATCTGTTTTAGGTCTACCAAACTTGGCCTTAATTTGATTTTTGTTAGTAAAATTACCAAAGACCTTAATTTTTGTGTCTTGTTCTTTCCCATTCATTGTTTGTTTCTAGATCTTAAGACGATGCAGGTTATTGGTAAATGATATATATCTGGTGATCTTTACATCTCTGATGAATGGGAGCCACGGTCTGTTGCATGCTCTAGTGTCGTGTCTCCTTTTGAAGCACATTGTCAACTTGGACATACCTCTTTACCTTTGCTAAAGAAGCCCTGTCCTCAGTTTCAGAATATTTCATCATTGGATTGTGAGTCATGTCGATTTGCAAAACACCATCGCATCTCGTTAAGTCCAAGGGTTAATAAGCGAGCTGAGTCAGCTTTTGAGTTAGTCCATTTTGATGTTTGGGGACCATGTCCAGTTGTTTCTAAAACTGGGCATAAGTATTTTGTCACATTTGTAGATGATTCTTCTCGAAGACTTGGATTTACTTTATGAAGAGCCGCTCTGAAGTGTTTACTCATTTTTCTGCCTTTTGTGCTGAAGTCAAAACTCAATTCAATGCTTCAGTACATACTCTAAGGAGTGATAACGCCAAAGAATACATATCAGAGTTATTTCAGTCCTACATGAGACAACATGGTATATTACATCAATCTTCATGTGTTGATACACCCTCTCAAAATGGAGTTGCTGAGAGGAAGAATAGGCATCTACTTGAGACAGCTCGAGCACTTTTGTTCCAAATGAAGGTTCCTAAACAGTTCTGGGCTGATGTTGTTTCTACTGCTTGTTTTCTGATTAATTGCATGCCATCTAGTGTACTCGATGGTAATGTGCCTTATAGTGTTCTTTTTCCGAACAAGTCATTATTTTCGGTGGAACCTAAAGTGTTTGGAAGCACATGTTATGTTCGAGATGTTCGACCATCTCTTACCAAGTTGGATCCCAAGGCTGTGAAGTGTGTTTTCCTGGGCTATTCTCGCCTTCAGAAGGGCTATCGATGTTATTCTACTATGCTTGGCAAATATTTAGTGTCAACTGATGTGGTATTTTCAGAGACTACACCATTTTTCTATGCACCTCCCATTTCTACAAGCCAGGGGAAGGAAGATGAGTGGCTAGTATATCAGGTTACCACTACTTTGACAGAACAAATAGATGATACTCTTCGATCTCCCAGTTCTTCTATTGAGCACCCATCGACTATTACGCCTTCAATACCTGCTCCAACTGTGTTAGCAAGACCTCCAATTGTTCAAGTTTATCCGCAGAGGCGAGAGACAAATGATACATGTCCTGCACTAGTTCCTGCATCATCTCATCCTCCTTTGTCTGATCCTCCAGATAACCTTGACCTTCCTATTGCTCTTCGCTAAGGTACACGTACTTGCAAATCGACATATTCTGTTGCTAACTTTGTTTCCTAGGACCACTTATCCTCTACGTCTAGATCTATGATTGATTCTCTAGACTCCATCTCCGTACCCAAAACACTGAAGGAGGCTTTGAATCATCCTGGATGGTCTGATGCAATGCTTGAGGAAATACATGCTTTAGAGGATAACCACACATGGGATTTGGTAGATTTAACAAAGGGAAAGAAACCAGTGGGATGCACGTGGGTCTTTACAGTTAAAGTTAATCCAGATGGTTCTGTGGCAAGACTTAAGGCCAGACTTGCAGCGAAAGGGTATGCTCAGACTTATGGGGTGGATTATTCTGACACCTTCTCCCCGGTTGCCAAACTCACTTCTGTCCGCTTTATTTCTCTAGTTGCGTCCGAGAATTGGCCTTTACATCAGTTGGATATCAAGAATGCGTTCCTTCATGGTGATCTTCATGAGGAAGTGTATTTAGAGCAACCACCCAGTTTTGTTGATCGGGGGGGGGGGGGGGGNAGAAGTAAATAGAAGCAAGAAGGGAATTCTTTTGTCTCAGAGAAAGTACATTCTTGACTTGCTTGCAGTACTCCAATGGTTCCTAATGTGCATCTTATGAAAGATGATGGTGATCCTTTTGACGATCCAGAGAGATACAGNAGTATCAAGAATAGCGTTCCTTCATGGTGATCTTCTATGAGGAAGTAGTATTTAGTAGCAACCACCCACGTTTGTTGATCGGGGCGGGGGGGGGAGGGGTAGGGGAAAGTCTGTCATTTGAAGAAGTCCCTGTATGGCTTGAAGCAGAGTCCACGAGCTTGGTTTGGCAAGTTTGGTGAGGTAGTTCAGGAGTTTGTGCTGAAAATGAGTAAGTGCGATCACTCAATCTTCTATCGGAAATTAGTAGCTGCCACTATTTTCCTTGTTGTATATGTTGATGATATTGTTATCAGAGGAAGTGACTATGGGGGGATTTCTTCCCTCAAGTCTTTTCTGCATACTAGGCTTCATACAAAGGACTTGGGCCAGTTGAAATACTTTTTGGGAGTGGAAGTAAATAGAAGCAAGAAGGGAATTCTTTTGTCTCAGAGAAAGTACATTCTTGACTTGCTTGCAGAAACTGGAAAGTTGGCAGCTAAACCTTGCAGTACTCCAATGGTTCCTAATGTGCATCTTATGAAAGATGATGGTGATCCTTTTGACGATCCAAAGAGATACATGAGGTTAGTTGGGAAATTAAACTACCTCACTGTGACTCGTCCAGATATTGCTTGTGCAGTAAGTTTTGTTAGTCATACGGTCAAACATTGGGCAGCTTTGGAACAGATTTTGTGTTACTTGAAAGGAGCTCTTGGACTTGGCATATTATATAGCAATCACAATCATACTCGTATTGAGTGTTTGTAGATTTTGGCTGGGCTGGATCGAAAATTGATAGAAGATCTACTACTGGTTATTGTGTCTTTGTTGGAGGAAACCTGGTATCACGGAGGAGTAAGAAGCAAAGTGTTGTATCTCGATCCAGTGCAGAATTCGAGTATAGAGCTATGTCACAGTCTACATGTGAGATTATGTGGACACATCATCTGTTGACTAAAATTAGGTCAGAGCATCGAATACCACCAAAACTCTGGTGTAACAATCAAGCTGCCCTCCATATTGCGTTAAATCCGGCGTATCATGAAAGAACTAAGCATATTGAGGTTGACTGCCATTTTATTCGTGAGAAGATTCAGGTGAACTTGATCTCCGCTGGCTACGTGAAGACAGGAGAGCAACCGGCTGATTTGTTAAGAAAGGCGTTGAGTGGAATTCGAGTTGATTACCTTTGTAACAAGCTGGGCATGATCAATATCTATGCTCTAGCTTGAGGGGGAGTGTTAGATAATGAATGTAGACATAATCTTATGTAATATACATATTCCTTTTTGATTCTTTCCATAGTTATGGCTCTATGTACTTGTATATATACTTGTTACTTCTTGAATACAACACATTGAAAGATTTCTTTATTGTCTCTGTACTTTACGGTTCCAAAGGCTTCCTTTGCCTCTGAGGCTGGTGGAGAATGGTGATAGAAGTGAGAAAAACTTGGGAAGCCGTGAAACACACTAAGGAGAACAAAGTACTAACCCACTCTGAGTAAAAGGTCTACTTAAATGCACCGATCCCTATCATAATACTGGATTGTGATTACCATTGTGATTTCAGTTATATGGCTCTTTAATGGGTTATCCAAAAAACATAATATTGGAGATCAGTAAATAAAATACAGGAGATATGTTTGAAGAGTTATTTCTTCTATTTGAATTGTACTATTACAGGACATCAATTTCCTCTCAAAATACAATTCGATAATCCTCAGACCCCACTTGTGAAATTACATTGGATATGTTGTTGTAAATACAGTTCGATAATCTAATAAGGCTTGCAATCTAATGAAGCATTTAAGCCTACGCATGTCCATTTATATCCCAATCATCTCTGGGACGGATAGTTCCTAGCTTAAGAGACAACTCAACAGTCAAGAAGTCACAATTCTAATGACAATCTACAAGTTCCAATCCTGAGATTTGTTGTCCAGTTGAGAAGAAATTAAACACTTTAGGAAACCTTGCTATGACTGACTTGTAGGAGGAAGCAGTTGAGACGCAAGACAAGGCACCGGATCAAAATTATACAGCAGTAGAGCAGGCTCCAAGCCACAAGTGCAGTACACAAAGTTCCAACAATAAGAAGAATAATATTCCAAGTATACATAAAATTCAACTTTTATAGGCATTAGGGGAAGTTTCTGCACAGTTGGAGGAGTTTGTTACACCTTCAAAAGAGTCAGTAACATGGTTTCATGTACTTCAAGACACCCCACAGCTTGCTCAAACACCCTCGTATTATCCCCTATACTCAGTTGACCTCTCTCTTCAAAATTATACACAATGATTATAACAAATAAAAGAATGACAAAGAAAGCTTGTTTTCTTGTTTTCTTTCATGACCTCCAGAAAACTTCAGGGTCGTTACTGTACAGTGTGCGATCTTGAATCTCAAGATTGGCTACATGATAATTTATAAGATTTGCTTGAGCGACTTTAAATAGGAGAAGTCCAGTAGGCAGCATCCACCAACCACTATCGTCCCTGCACCCACAAACACAACCGCATTCCCATGCCAGAACATTAGTAACAGCAACCACAAGATATAATTAAATTTTGCCTCAGGATGACTTGAGGCTCCTTACATGCTAAAATTCCAGGACTGAAAGTTTGGGTGTCTTTTCGTGGAGGATTGGCTATGAAAATGAACAAATCCACATATGAAAGCTACTACCTGTTGCAAATGTTTCGAGAAGAAAGAACTGCTCAGAAAATGAAGTATCATACCGAGTGAAAACTATCATTATTAAGTAAGCTGTTCAAGCCATACAATTGAATTAACAATGAGAAGGTGTATCTTGAAGAATCCTTAGTATAATGAAATGCCTATTAGACTCACCCAGAGCTATGATTAAAGGGACTAATATTGTTCACATAACCAGCAAGTTAGATAATTATATTATTAATTATTTGTGATATGGATGCTCCTTGAACTCTTAAAATGGATAAAATCGAAATCCACTTGACTTCATGGGATTCAGAACTTCAGTAATCATAGAGTTCATACTTAAAATCTGGACTTTTGATGTAAGAAATTCTTCATTTACTTTGCTATTCATTTGGAAGAAAAATCCGTTGCTAAGAAAAGGAGGACAGGCTGGGGAATTAACGTTGGAATCAGAAATTGTTAAAACACATTGCTTTTCTATTCTAAACAAATAACAATGTCTGCACAAATACCAATCAAATGAAGGCATAGCTGTAGCATGGAATATCAATTATTTATCGAGGTAATCTCGGCAAAAGAGAAAAAAAAGGTAAGGAACACGATGTATGGAAGTTTAAGAACAAGGAGCATTTTGTCATCTTAAGTGGGGACACAGAGGTAAAAAGTAAAAAGGCGTGCATAAGGTCCGTGGCTACTTACAACATTAATGGTTGAAATGATATTCCACATAGCATAGACACGGGCAGGAACTGCTGATCGGGTAGGTCCATGACTAAATAAAGCATTGATTCCAGCTGGAAATGGAAGAAGTATACCAAGGGGAAGAATAGACAAAAACACAAACACATCTAGCATTGAGATTGAATACAGCTGTAGCAAAGTGAGCAAGACTAGACTAAAATCTCCTAATAGGAGTATTGAGATGACCAAACCAATAACATCCTGCAAGAATATAGAACATGCATCTGTGAGCAATTTGTAAGGATGACAGATCAACAAAGAAGAGCAGCAAAAGCAGTTGAGATCAAACATACCTGATGACCAACTGGTCTTGTGTTACGAATTATATAATAGAAAGGATAGCAAAAAGTCAATTGGTCTTTAAGAGCCTGTAGGTTCTTGTCATTTAAAATTTCTCCAGGTAATCTTTTCTGCATCGCCACATGTTCATTGACTCTAACAAGATCAAATGCCTTTCTCCAACGATTAGCAGGTGTACTGCATCCAAAGAAAGAGAATGAACTCTAGAATAGATCGAAGCAAAAAATAAAGCAACATGCGAATCATTACCGTGGGTGCTTCTCGAGCAATAAAGATCTGTTCTGGCCTTCCGATGGCATCACTGATTCATTTTCAACGGTGCATACAAGCAGTCCAAACTGGTCATAACCACTGGCTGAAGGTTGAAAGCGAGCAAGATACACTCGTAAGCCATGGGCATGTAAAGAGGGATTAGCATGAGTCTCAAGCCAGCTAATAACTGGATGAAAATTGGCCCTCAGATGTCCACGGCGAACTAAACGAAGTTGAGCATTTAGACCGGCGACTAATCTATACCAGATTGTAGGTGGCACTGACTGCAATGGCAAATAAAGAGAAGAACAATAAAATATCTAACAAATTCTTCTAACGAAAGGGAAGGGAAGCGGAATTGCTAAAAGAAATGACTTAATCCCCACAAAATCCTGAACAGACAGTCATCTACTTAGCAATAAATAGAAACCTGACTCATGAGGCTGGTCAGAATATTATCACTTTGAAGTGAGAAAGGAGCCATGTAAGATCCATCTCCTCCGAAAAGTATAGACATTGGTAACCTCTGATGGAAACGAGGAGGAAGGTCATCTCTTTTCTCATCTCCCCCAAGGTAAAAGTCCACATATGCGAGCATCAGATCTGAAGTTGCAGCTACCTACACTAGAATTGATGATGATCAACATCAATGGCAGTAAAATCCACAAGAATGAAGCAAAAACTGACATAAAAAAGTTGCACCTAATATCAAGTCGAACCAGCAGCACCAAACTAAATCTTAAGTGCTGTAACTACTTGTAAGTCGGAGGCAATCTTTACAACTCCAAAACTGCAACTATGTGCTTGTGCTTCATAGAAAAGCTAATACATGCCACAAGCATATCTCTAAAGGTTGGTGGAGTTCAGATGAAAATAAATCACATCCAGAAACTCAACTTACTGACTTTCATTTCCACCATTCAATCATTCAAATGCAGCTATCCAGAAGCAAAACCATCAATTACCAAGCTAGATACAGATAAGGATGTGTCTCATTACATGGTAGTAGACTTGTAGTTACGCAATATAGAATAGCATTTCCTTAAACAACAACAACTAAGCCTCAACCCCAAGCAAGCTGGAGTCGGCTATATGAATTTCCTTAAGTTTATTAACTCAAAAACATATTTTCTTGTTGGTCAGACATTTGTACATGCAACATATATCAAGGGATAACCCGAGCAGTGAAAGAGAAGTAGGGTTCAGGCCAACTGATCCCATTTCGATTATGCGGCTAGGTTCTAAACCAAAAAGGGCATTTGAAAGCAGAACAAATATTAGTAGCAAAACAAAAAAAACTTCCTTGTCAGTAATATCTTCCCTCGCGGCAATTGTGACCTCTCCAGAGAATCGATGACTGCATCAAAGATGCAGTGCTAGTACATCTTAGACTTCTTAATTGGCTAGTTGCAAATAGCTCTACACGGACTATCATACAAAATATCTCAACTGGCATTTCAGAACTCTCTTACTACATCCATTTAATGGCATTTTCTAACCGAATACCAGATTATTCAACAAGCTTGTACAATTTTTGAGAGGATGATAATGTGGTGAAAGGTTAATGAAATAGACCTTAAGCCCTTCATAGAGTGCACGTGAGCGGCAAGAACGCAAGCACGCGTGATCATATTCAGAACGAACAAATTCACGCAGATGCTGTATTTTCTTCTTCCGGCGCCACTGCAGCCATGACCATGCAAGTGGGTATGCAAAAGTGCAAAGTATGCCATAAACTGACCCTTCCCACCACTGATATGAGGCCAAATCATTTATCTCATCCACAAATCTGTTGAATGCGTCTTCATATCTGAATATGTTTAACAATTTGATACTGTTATTGAATGTTACAAAATTATCAAAAACATTTGGATGAAAAGAAACTACAAACACAGACATTAACATATAATAGTGCCTACAAATAGGTTCTTAAACAACTAATATTAATGAGGAACCAATTTGAGTGTTCCTACATGAAATGCATAAGCAAACCTTTAGTCTAATAGAAGAAGAGAGAAAACATACACAATTTCTGTTACTGCTTTAGGAGGAGAATGAGGGAGATGCCAAGGTTCACTAAAAGTGTTATTCCCCAAAAGGTACATTCTATGCACGTGCGTTTGTGATTCTTCAGTTCTACTTGTCTCCAGCACCTAAAGTAACACACATGAAAATCAGACTACCCACCAAGAGGAAATTTCTAATATTCCAAGCGTAAATCTTGGTTGAATGGTAGCTGAAAAAAGAAATGATAGAAATATAGGTGGATAGAGGACCTCATTTAATGACTCTAGAAATGGGAATGAACGATCAATTGGAGATCCTCGGCGTGCTGCCACTGGACCAGGCAATTCATCGGCACTTACAAATTTTATCCGAGCCACACTAAGAACAAGAGCTAGAAGGATGAGGAGACTGAAAAGAAGACAACCAAATAACCATGGTCCACCAAAGGTGTAAATCAACTCTTCGAGTGCTGTATAACACCGTGGCATGTGATATCTATCAGAAATGCACTTGTACGGACATGGAGTATCAGTGACACCACCTGCAGCATTAAAGCGCCATCGAAAAGTTCAGATAATAAAAATAGAACAATTAAATTTCTTACAAATTATATTCTAAAGTAACGCTTAATGGAGCTATCGCGTTATGAGATAAGGATTTACTTTTTTAATCATAGGAATCCGTTCTGGAGAAGTATGGGCTAATGAAGCGTGGGGGTCATACTGGAATTGGGACCCAAAAGAAACTTGGCATTTTTTACTTGGATCATTTTACAATTTATTTACATACTCGAACAAATAGAAATTTGCGGGGTGCAAATTTTGCAATTGTAACCTCTATAGACTATCTTATAATTAGGATATGCTATTTTGGGGTCAATCATTCAATTAGAACAATCATATTTCACCAATTCAATTACCAACATATACATTTCCTATCAATCAAAAAAGCCTTAATTCTGAATCAGTTGGATTCCCAAGAGAATCTAACAGTAAGAAAAATGTGAATATGACTGAACAATGAAAACCGAAATAAGTTGCCAAAAATTGCAGGAAATGAAATCACCACTTAACCATAATAAAGACTGAACATACCTCGTATAGCAATATATAAAGCCCGATGAGGAAGCTCATGAGATGGGCATTTAACACAGAGGGATCTATCAGATCCGCTTACATTCTTATAAGTACCAATAGGGCATTCCTGCATTATTTCATCCACATAGTTAAAAACGGATAGGTTTAACATAGATTTCATGTTCTTAAGGATACAGAATAGAAGATGGTCCAAAATCATGGACAGCACACATTGAATGAGCTGACAAGAGTCTATGTTAAACCAGAGAGAGAGAGAGAGAGAGAGAGAGAGAGAGAGAGAGAGAGAGAGAGAGAGGAGAAATACCTGGTTTGGTGAGGAGAGGAATGGGCTAAAACGGGTTGGAAAATGAAGGGGTAGAAGAAGAGATGTTGAAGCTGCCGTGATTTGCAGAGCGTCGTCGCCGGAACAAAACTTCTTCCGAGCATTTTTCAATCTTTCTGGAACAAAGCAGGCCTTTTTGAGAGAAAATGAACAAGGTAATGGACTGGGCTAGTACAGTTTCGCTAATGGCCCAAACCATCACTACATTTTGGGAGAAAGTGCAGAAATAGCCTTTTAGGATCCCCTATTTAATAAATAGCCGAAATTTATAAAGTTTCAAATTTAGCCACCTCAGCGTCAAATTCAAATTGATGAAGCAGCAGCATGCATGAGTCCTCTAGTTTGCTAAAAATGGCTATTTTTTTAACAACAATACCAAACCTAGTGATATCCTACAAAGTGGGGTTTGGGGAGAGTAGAGTGTATACTGCCTTACCCTACCTTACGAAGGTAGAGAGGCTGTTTCCGATAGACCCCTGGCTCAAGAGGCTAATTTTTTAAATAATTTTTATAATCTGGATAAGTTCTAAATAGGAGTGCTCTAAGCGGTAATATAGTGTCATTTCTACAATCTTTTGCACATAGTTAATTGGTACAAATAGCATAATTGGATAAACCATATTTTGTAGCAACATTATTCGGTAATTTGTTTACATTAGCATATTATGCAACAAATATGGTTTTGATTGCTAGGAGTGTCAAAGTTAGCTCATAAAAATAGTTATTCATTATCAGGTCATTTCGGATATAGCTTAAGTTGGCTAATTTAAAATGGAATTTTTACATTCCTATGCAACATAGGAAACCTTATTACCCTCAATGTTTAAGGTTTGACTTAATTACACTTAGTATACCAAATTACCAATTTATACCATAGTGTATTTTAAGGGTACAATTAATGCAGGTATATCCCTCCTTAATTTAAGGTACCGTATATCCCACCCCTCCCACGTTTCTCTCTCCCAAACCCTCACCCTCACCTAACTTCGTAGTGCCCGCCTTTGTTTTCATTTTCTATCGTGTTTTTATTAGGTTCAATGCCGTATTAAATGACTTAAAACATATTTGGAAAAGGTAATTAAGATTTCATGTCGCTATAGACTGACCAATGCAATCTTTCTAAAGAACTTTTTTACATGGTTTTAGTGGGAGAAAGAAGCTCGAGCAAAACGTATTGGCTTGTGGGCGGCCAGAAATCCTGAAATGCCATGGGAATGGAGGAAGCAGAAACGTGAAAATCAACGTTCTTGAATCCAAAAGAATAATGAATGGCATACGTGTCTAATTTCTTTACGCGANAGCACACATTGAATGAGCTGACAAGAGTCTATGTTAAACCAGAGAGAGAGAGAGAGAGAGAGAGAGAGAGAGAGAGAGAGAGAGAGAGAGAGAGAGAGCATTGAGAAGTAAAAACAATGTAAGCCTGATCAAACCTTTTGATGCGAAACAAGTTGAGCCAACATGCATGTTATTTTTCATTGGCTAACTGACAGATAAGATCGCAATAAAATTAACTCTGAGGTGAGGTTTCTAGAGATATAGAAGACGTGAAAGTACAACAACAACCCAGTAAAATTCCACAAGTGGGGTCTGGGGAGGGTAGTGTGTGCGCAGACTTTACCCCTACCCCGGGAGAGTAGAGAGGTTGTTTCCGATAGACCCTCGGCTCATGAAGACGAGAAGAGACAATAGTTCAGTAACAACAATAATAGAAGAGGTTAATGTATGAACCAGAAAAGTTTTAGACCTAGAAGTTGATAAAACACCCAAAAAAAAAAGAAGATAAAATACGTGCATAAGTCATTTTGGTCTACAAAATGCAATGTCAAAGCATACATGGTTGTCTATAGCCTTGCTGATCCATAGGAGACAAAAGCTACGAATTCTTCAAGCCCCAAAACAAGTAATTTCAAGCATAAGTAGAAATTGCATGTTACCTGACAGAATATCCCATAAAGTCCCTTTGGGCAAGGTTTGCCACTAAGAGTTCCGTTTTCTCCATCTTGTCCCAGACCTATACCAATTCCACCCCTGCAGTTCCATTATTATGAGAATGAACAACGAGATCCAATAAGGATTGAAAGTAAATAGACGACAAAAGGTTAATGGTATAGGAGCTAGATCTCAGGTCCGTTCTTTAATTCAGAGCCAACATGATTGAAACTCCTCCCATTTACAGTTGAGAAAAGCAGTCTTACCCAGTTAGGATGCACATTATCTGGATCAATATAGATAATGCAAATGAAATGGCAGTTTTCTGGGATGGACCTATAGAAATGTGCTTCAGACAAAGTAGAGAAACAGTGTAAAATTCAGACTAGCAATAGGCATCCTCTCACATGCAATACTCACAGCCCTATGATGAATACCTGCTTACAGGTTGGTAGAAACACTCCAAATTTGTATATATCATCACTTTTATCCTTCAAGTGCCTAGGTCACAGCCTAACAGAATCAAGGTTACGGGTCCAAAGAAATTACACAATTTTAGATACTACAGAACTTCTCTTTATTACTTAATATTTCACAAAACTAACTTACCCAGCAAGTAAATTATAGCTACTCAATGAATATGTACACTAGATTAGATACGAACCCAACATTGATGGTCCCTTTTACACTTGTTATAGGCAGGTATTCATCTCCAATAGGAATGCCCGACCAATGAAAGTGAATTCTTCCACCACCGCCACCACCACCATTAGGACTACCATGCCCTCCAATAGTTGATATACTAGAAGAATCACCAAGGGCCAAAGACTGAACAAAAAGAAGAATTGTTCCACCAGATCCACCACCAGGACCTATGTTTGAAAGAACCCTGCTATCTTCCTCTTTACTGTACTTGCCAAAGCTTTCTCCATCGGCTTGTATTGAACCATAGACAGACAACCTTGACAATGAATGCTCCAATGAACCCATTACTGTTTCAGGAGAGACATCACAAACAATTACTCTCCACTCAAAGCAAGTTTCGAAGGAGGTCAATGTTCACTATGCAAGGATTATCAAGAAAAAGTGATGAGAATTATGAGCACTGCATTGTAATACAGATGAATCCACATTTCACAGCAAATAAGCAAGACTATTTCAACTAAGTGTGAAAGATTTGAAATTTGACCATTGCTCAACTGCAAGATTTGTGTATGTATAAGCTTCCCTTCAATGTCAAAATTCGAATAAAACATGAAGATCCAGGATGGTAAAATGTGTAATCTGTCACCATGTATAAAAGAACACATGTTCTATGTGAGTGACTTTGTTTTTTATATCGGAGGTAGCTCAAATAGCATAAGATACTTTGGCCCAATGGATTTATATTTGAGATCTTTTTCTGCAGGATGGTTTGGGTGGTCTAAGCATAAAAACCGAAGGATAGCTTAAGTAAACAAACAAAGAGATTAATGTGATAATTCTAAACGCTCACCAATTATGCCACCGCCAGCAGTTGAACTAGAGAAACTATGGTTACCACTTCCGCTACCAAGTTCACAAGGCAAACCTGCGTCACCATATGAAATACCACCACTTATATAGCTGCCGTTATAATATGCATCACCACCCCTTCCACCATGTCCGGCACCACTGCTTAGGCCGTTAGGTAAGAGCACACCACTGCCCAACCCTCCAGTGCAACCTTTATATAAAAAAGATTCATTTAGCTCGGGATATGGACCATAAGATTAGAAAGGTAACTGAGAGAAAATTGTGTTCTTATAAGTTCCAGTTACATACTGAAATATTTTCTTGTTCAAAAGCAATATGAAAGCTTACAAGAAGGACAAAGATAACAAACATGAATGGAAGGAAAAGGAAAAAGCATACCTAGCCCAGACGCACTTATTGACCCGGTAGGTTTTACAGTAACTGTTCTAACCAAATGGAAATGAACAACAGACCCTTCTAAGACGCCCTCGACAAAAACATCTTCAACGCGGCATACCTAAATGATTTTTTTGTTCAAATCATCTAGAATACAGAGCAAACTCGAAGACACAACCTACTGAAACAATTATAGGAATAAAGATGGAAGAGATAACCCTTGAGTGATGGATGCAATTAGCACAAATACCTGAAGAGTAAAAGATAGTGAGGCATTCACATTGCAGTCTTCGGGGGGATATATCAATTCGATTGGGCAATCTGCACTTCCACAAAAAAGTCTTGGTTTCCTGCCATTGGCAATAATATCTTTCTAAAAAAGATCAGCAAATCCAGCAAAAAGAACTAGTTGTAGATAGTCGTGCCTTACGTGTGATTAACACCTGCATTTTGAAGGGGACCACGCAAAACAGACCCAGGTCCAACCTTCACATAGAAACAGCAAAATACTGTCATTAGCAAGCTCAGAGATTGCTGCCTATAATGTATTAGGTTCAAGTTTCATAAGCAAAGAAGAATCTTCAAAATTAGCATCAAGACCCGGAAGACGAAAGATTAAGGCAGGGAATTACAAACTACCATACAAATTTAAAAACCTGAGTTCATGCTCCTTGTAAAGACATAAGCCCTTTACACGATGTTTGAAATTAGTATATCAAGCCAAACAGAGTACAAAGTGGGTGTCTGATGAACCATAAGACACAATCCCCACAAAGATAGAATGCTTTTGCGCCTCGTCCAACCACATGAAAGAACATCATGTTTTAGCCTTAACAGGTATTATATTCCTACTATTTTTATTCCTACTCATACGCCCATACGTATCAAATCCTATCTTATCAAAAAATATTGATATTTATATTCCAGATAGAGAAAAAATAAAATGATGCCTATGCTGCTGCTTCAACTCAAACCTCATAAAATTTGAATATTGGTAAGATTCTAAGATTAGTTTGCTACAGATTAATTTTGGATTCTCTGTAATATAGGTATTCATATATTTAAAAAATTCTTAGCTATAGATATGCACAGGTACTATAGATATTATTCTTCTGTAACCACCCTCCCATCTATTTTTAATCACATAATGATCTTTTTTACATATGTTTCTTTTATTATCAAGTTTCCAATTAAAAAATGCTTCTTTTATCATCAGTGAATCAATCAATCAACTATTCCTCAATCCCAAATTAATTAGAGCCGGCTATATAAATTTTCTGCATCAATTATTCATCATAGTTGCACCATTTTTACGACCATAATCTTCTGCAGCCCTCCACCTTTATTAGGGTTAGGGGCTTCCTATGCTTGTGAATCTCACATAAGTAGACCTGTTTCTTTTATCATCGAAACAGAAAAATTTCTGAGGCGACAACTCAAGATGCAGAGTCCAGCTTTTATCCATGCTCCAATCCACATATAGAACATTATCGATATTGCTTTTCTTCCATAGTACACTACTAATAATTTCAGAATTCATAAAATGTTAAAAACATTTTATAATTTGCTAAATATCCTGATTTCAGCTAGTTTGAGAGAAAGTATAATACCAAGATCTGATTGACAAAACCACCCAGAAGATATACATGAGGATAGTATAAACTTGTATTTGTCAGAACAAGACAAAAGCAGATGTTGAGCTTAAAAAGTGCAAGTATTAAGTAGAAAAAGAGCCTTACATTTATGCTGTAGAACAGGGACAAAACCAAATGTTGCGCTTCAATAAGATCTCCAGGTCCAGTTAAGTTCAGTGAACCTTGTCCACGAACTCCCAAATTCGCATTCGATTGTATCACAGAGGATCCCTAAAAACCAATATGTTCTGATGGGTAATGAACGACGAAAATATAACCAAAACCATAGCAGCAAGGTAAAATGAGTTACCTTTAGCACCACTAAATTGCTCACTTCAAGTAAAGATGTTGCAACAATTGCATCGCCATCACCATCTATAAGCATCTTTGAGTTCAACATCAAGTGGATTTTGACAGACATTCGCAAAGACCCATAGATCTAGAAATTCGTAAGAATTTATTAAATATAACACCCAACAAATGAGGAATTCTAGATGTATATTGAAAAGAAAAAGAGCAATTAAAAAGAAAATTTTGGGAGTGTGCCTCCTTTTTTGCTGGAATAGAATGAGGAGGGTCAAACACTAGAGAACATACTTGCCTTAATTACTGAGTCACTCATCAAGAGCTCTTCCGCCAATAATTCAAACTCCGATAAGGCATAATGTACAAGCCCAAAGGACAAAATGGCACCATGCGATAAACTAAGTTGTCCTCGAACCTAAACAACAAATAGCATATTAATTTCCGAATATCAACTTAGAGCACCACCAACTATGACTAACACTTAAATCTATATGTATGAAGGTGGAGGGAAGCCAAACCAAGATAGCAGACACAATTTTCACTTTATGAACTTAGGTTTCTGATCCTAGACTATGATACGTGCCTAACGAACCAGAAAGGCATAAAATGGAAAAAGCAGCAACAAAGACAAAAGGGAGTACTATAGAAACATGCAAGAAGGAGGGAGAAGCGGCAACACTAGTGTGATTGGGAGGGGTTTTTAAAAACTGCTGCTGAAAAAATGAACCCACTTTTGGGTTTTCTTCATTGAAAATAAAGGGCAGCCCGGTGCACGAAGCATCCCGCGTTCACGCAGGGTCCGGAGAAGGGCTGCACCCCAAGGGGTGTGATGTAGGCAGCCTAACCTGATGCAAGCACCAATGGCTGATTCCACGGCTCGAACCCGTAACCTATAGATCATACGGAGACAACTTTACTGTTGCTCCAAGGCTCCCCCCTTCTATCAGTGAGTTTTCTTTATTTGGTTTTATCTATTTAACAGTTCCATTTAGAGCCAACTTTTTCTTCAATTGACTTTTACACATACATTGATTCCTTAGGGATTTGCTACTAAAACGACATCCCAACATGCCCAAGTTACTCTGGCAAAGTTTTCAATGAGGAAAAAATCTAATGTGGTCAATGGACAGTCAATCAACTGCCTCAACATCTGGCAAATCCCAAATTAGTTCTGACATAGAGGAAAGACATCCAATTATGTTGTAGTTAGAAGCACTGATTCACAAGACAAAAGGATATGATTGACCTGCATACGACTCCAAAGTAGAGGAACAGTAGCCCGTGCATGATCTTGAATATAAACGTTTGTCCAGAGAGGGTGATTAGGAAACTCAAAGAGAAGTGTATCAGTATCTGTTGACAAGTTGTGATTATTAACAACGAGTCTTCGAGGAACAGCATCATAGAATGTCCCTGCAGCACCTGCATTTGTGGGACAGCCAAAACTTCTTCCCCCTGTCAAACAATAAAAAAGAAAGGCACTGACACTCTACCCGCAATACCACATAATCAATTACAGATAGGGAAACAAAGATTCCATGGTCCAAAAATTCCAAATGTGACATACAATATAAATTATCATTTTAAGTCGAGCAGAGTCCTGATGAAGTTGTCAACTTTATCAATGGTGCAATTAGTCACAGGCTATGTTGCTCGGACTCTCCGAAAATATCGATGGATGCGTGTTGGATCCTCCAAAAATAGTGTATTTTTGGAGGATCCGACACGGGTGCGGCAGCTGTTTTGGAGAGTCCGCGCAACATAGGTCACAAGTTAATGATAGTCCACGTCTTACCCCTTGAAAAACCAACTATTGCGCATAATATAATTCAGAGATGGTTTTAAAAAAAACATCTTAGAATAATTTCATAGAAAAAGCAAAATAAAAGACCGCGTAGAAAGTGAAGTGGATTGGCATGAATGTTGACTATTAAAAACAGTAACTGTTAATGAAGTAACAAACTTGTGATATGAAACATGCCATAAGGTCATTTCATCAGCTAATTCTTTAAAAAGAGGAAGTAGAAGATACTTGTCAGTACAATAGAACACTTAAGTCATACAAAATAAAAACTCTAATCTACATTGTGGGGGAAAAAGAGAAATAAGAATAAGAGAAGAACAGAAACTGCTTATTGATGTACGTAGATGGAAGATCCGAAAATGCTTATTGATGGAACTTCCCTGATCTGGTCGTACCAACGTTGGAAAAATAATAACAAATGATTAAAGATTAATGATTCAAGTGTAGCTTTTGAAACACACTTAACCTAGTAAATAACACATCCGGAAGAGCTATTCTGTGGACTCTTCCAAAAAATTTGCAGATAACTTTCTAACTGCATCAACTGTTAAACACTGGACTGGCCTACAGCGACTGGAAATCTCTAAAGCTTAGTATGGCAGAAGAGCAGATAGAGTGTGGCGCTGAAATTGCGTTTCTATTATTGGAAATCCTCACCATCCAACATGGGTAGGAAATTTGCTTCAACATTCCATTTAGCAAACACTTAAAACGAGTTGAAAATCCTTACCATCAAAAATGTGTGGGCAATTTGCTTCTAAATTCCATTTAGCAAAGACTTAAAACCTCGATTTATGTAGTCTTTCCTTCACATTCATAATTGGTCCAATAGGAGATATGCATGAGTTCTGCATCTCTCTGCATAATTGATTTGACAAACAAGTTGGCAAAATATTACTAATTCTCTACAACCCTATACTCAGTTGACGATTCACAATATTATAATGCTCTAAAACCCCTATTCTCAAATCGAAGATGGTGCTCAAACACAGAAAAATCCTCACAAACTCTTAGGAAGCAAAAGAGAAGTAATAATTTTCTTTGTTCTTGGTCATACCATGAACGAAGAACACAGAGTCATCATGCCTGCTAAAGATTTCAACAGAAACTCTTCCACCACCTCCTCCAGCAAATCCATTGCCGCCAGAAGCACTTATTTTGCCGCCTCCTGTCCTGCTCAGAAAGAAACATCAGCTTTGAGTAAATGATTCTACCTTATAAAGATATGTCATCACTCATCAGATATTGCATGGCCTAACCAGTACCGAAATGTAGAAGTAATCACTGTAAAGCTTACAATGGACACTATAGTGTAATTTCTAAGAGTATAATAAAAAATAGGTACTCATGTAATCACTTGATGATGAGTTTTCTTTTGTTGAATTCTTGCAAACCGCCTCATCTAAAGCTTAAATTGTTAGCTATTGGTTATTTATTCAAGTCTTACTAAATCTTTTCTTGGGCCAAACATGCGAAAATATTTTGTTGATGGGTGGCATAATAATCAAACTCGGGATTTTGCAACTTTATGTTATGTCAAATTATTCCAACACCTTAAGAGAATCAGTGAAGTAGCTTAAAATCTTTATAAACCCCTGTGTATGTCACAATATCCCGAAGTCAAGTTTGTCCAAAAGGTGGCCTTCCACATCTTCTGAGAAGAACTCTGATTTAAGCTCCAATTTAGGTGAAGGGAAGTATGACCCCCTTAAGGTGAAACTCAATGAGAGACGTTTGAGTTTATAATCCTACTAATGTAATTGAACCTTCAGTTTACAACTCCCTCTCTACGCTACACAACCTCCAACCTAGCAGTTGGCGATGAAAGTCTCTATTACTAGAGTCTACTTTGTCAAAGGAAGGACATAGGGACAACATTTATGTTGTGGAAAACAGGTATACCTTCTTCAGACAAACTTAGGTGTCTATCAGGTGCATGCAAGTAAAGACAATTTTTACACTATCGGGTTATTTAAAAAACTAAATTCATTTTTATAACGTCAGTGTATGTAAGTCAAAAAAAAAAAACAAGAGAAGTTAGTATTACGTTACATTTTCTTGGACTTGATGTAAATACTGCCACCAGAACCACCACCTCCTTTGATTCCACCATCCCCACCATCAGCCAAAAGAGTTCCTCCTGCATCCAAAACATCCATCACCTCCAACCATATCTTCCCACCCCCATTCCCTCCATAATCATCGTCCTTATTAGTACTCTGCCCTTTACTTCCATAGCTAAAAGGTTGTTCCAATGACTTCCAAGAATAGGTATCTCCTCCCCATACATCTTCTGGAAGCTTCTTATTATCCATAACACAACTCGCCCCTCTACCCCCATGACCCCCACCACCACCCTGGTAATCCTTAGGTGTCCCACTTGATTGCTCTGGCGGGTCACCAGCTAACCCGGTAACGTTTATAACCGACTGGCTAATTAAACTCCCATTTCCTGCCACTATATAAACCGAGCCGCCAATAATTCTTGCGTTACCGTTAAGCTTCAAATGACCTGTTATGTTAATCGTAACGGAGCAACCGGGAACCGGGCAACTGAGGACGACGCCTTGAAGAATGAATAAGTTCCCGGTTCCTTCAATGTACACGTCACGCGTGAAATTCACGTTGTAATTCAGCTCGCACGTAGTGTTCAGTGACCCGATGCCACGTAGTTCGTCGCACGTGAGAGAGGGCGGGTGGGGTGGTGGAGAGGGGGGCGGTGGCGATGGAGGTGCGTAGTCGCCGTTCAATGGATCGGAATCGAAATTGTTGTTGTAATCGAGAATTGAGAAATCAGAAAGTGATGCTGAAACGAAGCAAAGGGTATGAAAATTAACGTAAACGAAAACGTGGAAGATGAAAAGGTGAATTAAGGGAACGGCCATGAGAAAAACTCATCAGAAATAGAACAAGAATTGGGAAAAGAAATTTGAAACAGTAATGAATCTTGCAGTGAAATATGGAAGCAGAATTTGATTGAAAGTATTGAAATGGGAATGCAGGGGAAGAAGAAGAAGAAGAGGGGAAGAGGTGGAGGGGAGAGAAAAGAGAAGGCGAGGAGTTCGGGGGAGAGAGAAAAACTGAAAAAGACAGGCTGACACCTGCTGAGTTTTCCATTTTGTTTCTCTTTCAAAGAAAATTCCCATTTACATGATAGAGCTTTTGTCAGCAACTCATTGGCCAACTTCATCTTACTCGTAAACAAACATGGTACTTTCAAGACAAATTATATAGGGGTTTTGACACAGTTATACACAAAAATAAAGTTATTTACACTTATTTATTCATTTGTTTTTATTCCTATAAACTAATTATATTTTCCTATCCATAGTAGGTTTTGTGAGGAATTTTTTCTTTATTCTCCAATTCTTTTTTATTTCTATGTTTCTTTCTTTTTTTCCTTTTTTCTTTTCTTTTCTCCTTTTCTTTTTTCTCATTTTCTTCCTATTTTTTTATTTTTTATCTTTTATTCATTTATTATTGCCCAAGTCGTATTATTGTTATTTTTACCATAATTTATTTTATACTCAAATTTGACTCCTTCTTTATTTTTTTATTTTTATTTTTTTTCCTTATTTCTTGTTCCTTTTTTAATTCCACGTGATTGCCATGCAAACCTTGATCTCCTTCCGTACAAATATTAGTACATACTCTACCATTAGCAGTAACACCAACCAGTGATGGAGCAAGACAATATAATCTATGGCTACTAAATCTCCATATATACTAGTTAGAATAGAAATGATAATAAAATATTGGAAAATGCAATAAAAATATAAGTAGCAAAAAAGACTTCTAGTACCACATGATACCAATATGGTATACATGTATACCAACAGAGTATATGATTGCTCTAGAATATTGCTACAACTATCTGTGACTATACTACTGTACCAAAACATTAAAGGATACAATAAAAGTATGAGAAAATTACATGCTCGCATTGCAAGCTAAATATTTGCAAAGCAACTTGCTCATTCCATATACTAACAGGGTATATAGTTGTATGGGTCGTTCCAACAATTGCCTATAATTATAAAAACTATTACATAATAAACATACCTATATCCATCAGCACAAAAATTTTCCAGCACTGCAAATCACGTTCATATAAATAATTTCAGAATAGAATTCACTTAAAAATGCAGCCAAAACAACCAAAAAAAGTTCAAACTACCATATGTTACCAATATAGATTATGGCATATAACTATACCAACATGGTATACAATTTTATGGGTTAATTCTTGAAAACTATATGACTGTACTACTATTACATAACACACATGCATAAAGAGAAAAATAAAAAAAAATAGTGTACCACATATTAATGTAATAGAGTATTTCAAGATATTGACTATATTACTATTATTAAAAGAAAATCAAATATTGTACTAGCAGCTAATACAACCAAAAAATGATTCAACTAGCATATGATACCAACATAGTATATAGCTATACTAATAGGGTATATAGTTGGAATGAATTGTATACCAAAATGGTATATTTGTATACTATTTGAGTATACAATACAAATTCGTTTTCTTCTCTTGTTCAACTATATTTCAACCCAAACTTCTAAAATCTACTACAAAATCTCCACCAAATTGACTAAAACTTTAGCTGCAACCTCCAATCAACTTTCCAAACAAACCCATATAGGATCGGATCAAAATAATTAAAAACTCAAACAAACCAAGTTATGAGTTTCAAGCTTTAAGGTCCTTCAATGGTGGATTTGAATTTTTGTACAATAAATCCCAATTTACCTAGTAAGTGCGAATGAAATGGTTTTCGATTCAACCCAAGAAAGAATCCAAGATTGGTTGTTGGTTCAAATTGTAAGAGCGAAATGGGAAAAACAAAATGGATAGTAGTTAGGAGTAAGTGCGAGAAAGAAGGATATATGAAAATCGGCGAGTCAGAATGGGAATGTTCAAAATGAAAAAAACAGAACGCTATGCTAACCCTCTCGTGTTCCTTCCCCAATTCATATTTGGTGTTATTCTGCTTACCAGGTTTCTTCCACTTCTATTTCATTTTAACCGGGTAAATAGTTTGGGCCCCATGGGTAGGAGTAGTAAATAGTTTGGGCCTGGACATTAAAGGGTAAATAGTTTAGAATTAATGGATATAAAGTGAAATTTTATGTATTTTATATTGTTGATTTATCATATCCTTATGTATTAGAGCTTATACACGATTTAGTTAGTTTGTTGGGTTTCGATTATTGCCACTTTATTTTAGTTTATGTCACGTCCTCGCTGTTTTTCAGTTTTTTTCAAGAATACAAGTGAGTATATTGGAGAAATTTTACTATGCGAGTCACTAGTAACCAATATTATTTATGTGAGTTTAGTTTATTTTTTAATAAGTGGATTCATCTTCCTACTTACTTATTTTAAAACATAAATAAAAAAAGCCAATATTTAAGTCTACTATTTTTCGAGGCTTAACTGGTGGATGATAAAAGGAAAAGAAGATACAAATAATCAAACCTTTTAATTAGGAAAAGAGTAGACTTAAACATTGCCTTTTTTAGCTTATGTTTTAAAATAAGTAAGTAAGAACATGAATCCACTTATCAAGAAATAAACTAAACTCACATAAGTAATATTGGTTATGTGACTCGCATAGTAAAATTTCTTTATGTGTGCGAGTCATTACAATGGACCTAGGTAAATAACCCAAATAACCCCTTTAGAGTAAGACTTAGGATTTAATAACTAGTTGAGCAGACTTAAGAATGGGGTTATGGCATGGTATAACAACATACTCATATAATTGGCAGAAAATAGCCCTAGTTATAGATATTGGCATCAAATAGCCAATAAATGTATATCACAATAATAATTAGGATTTGGCTATATATTGTCAATTGTTTGGGACTATCTTTGCCAAACCCAATATAAGGCTAAAAAATTGCCAATTCTTATTATGGGTTGTTATAGGATGCCAATTTTTCCTGGGGTTATGGCATGGTATAACAACATACTCATATAATTGGAGAAAATAGCCCTAGTTATAGATATTGGCATCAAATAGCCAATAAATGTATATCACAATAATAATCTGTATATCACAACTTTTTTTTCTTCTTTGTCTATACCAACATGTATATTAAAATTTTATTTTCATTTTTTGTATATAAATAATATTATTCTTTGTATATCAATAATATAAAATTATATATATAGTTATTGCTGCCTTTATATCAATATATATCATAATAAAAATATTGTATTATTTGTATATCACAGTGTATAGCACATCGGACATATGTATACCAAAATAGATATCATAAGTTTATTTTTCTTCTTTGTGTACATCAAAAATTAATTTCTTTGTATAATAAATATTATTTACTCCCACAATTATATTTATTATTTTTATATTTTAGAACTTGCTTAAACATGCTATATCAAAAATTTATTTTCATTTTTTGATCAATAATTAATAATTATATTATTTATATATCACAGTGTATAACACATTTTATTTTAATATCAGTGATACACATGTATATTATGTGTATATGTGTATATCCATAAAAATTTGTGTTATATATATGATATACAATGTGATATACACGGGAGTCCACAAAAGAATTATGTTGTATACCGATATACAAAGTGATACACACAGACGTCCTTATAAACTTATGTGTGATATACACTGATGTACACGATATACAACGTGATATACACATGTCGCAGTTGGATTTTTAGGTCTGATTTTTTTCCTGAAACCAGTCTATATCACTTCTATTCTTGCTCAAATTTTGTATATAGCCTAATTTAAGTATTTTCAACTAATTTCAATCACACCCACTCATTCAATCCAACCTAAAAAAGGAAGAGAGAAGAAAAACAAAGTTGAAATATATATTTTCTCTCTTAGTTTTTGCTAAATCTTTCTCAAATTTTGTATATAGCCTCGTTTAGGTATTTTCAACCAATTTCAATCACACCACACATTCAATCCAACCAAAAAAAAAAGAGAGAAGAAAAGCAAAGTTGAAATATATTTTTTCTCTCTTAGTTTTTGCTTCTGATTTTCTCTGATGTGAGATCAACCTTACCTTTTCATCCTACTGATTTTTTTTGCATAATTTGCAAGAATTTTTGCTCAACTATGAGAGAAAAAGAGAAGAGATAGAAGAAGAAATACAAGGAGAGAAAGGGGGAGGGAAGCCAAAATAAGCGTGTAGCTTTTTTTTTGTTTAGAGAGAATATAAAAGAGAGTAGGGTTTTTTAGGATTCGGTTATATAATGCCAATTGTTTGGGACTATCTTTACCAAACCTAATATAAGGCTAAAAAATTGCCAATTCTTAGGGAGAAATTCAAAAATAGCCAGATTTAGCACTGGTCATTGAAAAATAGCCAAGTTTCAAAAGTCATCGAAATTTAGCCACTTTAAATCTGAGCGAAAACACTGTTCAAAATCCGGAAAAATACGCCCGCAAATTTTACGAGAGTTCCAGCATAAGTATGCTTGAACTCCCGTAAATTTTACGGGAGTTCCAGGATAACTATGCTGGAACTCCCGCAAATTTTACGGGAGTTCAAGCATAATTATGCTGGAACTCCCGCAAATTTTACGGGAGTTCCAGCAAGTATAATTGTCCAGTATAATATACTGGAGTTTGGAGCACTGGTGCTCCAGTCTCCCGCAAATTTTACAGGAGTTAGCAAAGTATACCGTTCCAGCATAATATGCTGGAGTTCGTACACAAATGCACCAGAACTCCCGTATATTATACTGGACCGGTCCCTGTTGCAGCAAAATAATGGTTATTTTTCATTAACTTGATAAACGCTGGCTATTTTTCATTGACCAATGTGAAAACTGGCTATACCATGATATTTTAACCAATTCTTATTATGGGTTGTTATAGGATGCCAATATTTCCTTAAGAATTGATAACTAGTTGAGCACCTTTCTTTTGGCTTGTTCTCCTATGGACCTTAAGGTCTTCTTTTAATCACCTTTAAAGCATTCCAAGCTCTTGATGGTTGGAAGAATGCTCCTAAGTCCGTAATAGCTACTTTGGTGCTAGAAATATTCCAGATGACGTCGGATTAAACAACATATAAAGAATACTTATTAATTTGTTTTTAACATTATCATAGCGCCCTA